CTTGCTGAACGTTTGTGAAACCAAGCACTGGATGTGAGCACAGTGAGGTGGTGGGTGGTCCGTTTCAGCAGTGGTAACATACACAGCATGGAGGTTCTTGTTCATCACTGGCAATAATGCACAGGTAACTATTAAAACATAGTGTTTTGTAGCTGAGAATTTGCTCTGTCAAAGACCATTATTGTGCTCTTTGTATCTGATGTATTTTCAATGAAAATAAATAGAAGGCGTTACTTTCAATGTGACTTAGGTAGAAACCCTCGAGGATAAGGAGCCTAAAAAAACATTTACTCTGAGAATCTAAGTTGAGATAGAGATTACAAGTCTGCCCTCAACTCACATAAGCTCCCAGGAAAATTACTTTGCATTGCTACACAGTTTTATTTGGACTCATTCTCGTTTCCGTAAGAATATTCTCCTCCCACTCAAACTTATTAAAGCAAAATAATTTCAAACCAGTCATGGAATCAAAAATTAATCCCATGCTGAGTGTGGTATTATGATTGCTGGAGCAACGTCTACACACGGATCAAAGCCAGCATTTGGGTCAAGCACACCCTTGGCTGAGAAAGGCAGTGACACTGCCACTGCTCCCAGCTGAGCAAGAAGGTTGAATTTGACTTGATGGGTGTTGGTGGGATTTTGTGTGCCCTGGAGCACAGTCACCTACAGTCTTCAGAGGCTGCATGTTACCTGTTGGGTTTGAAGAGCCATGAGGGTGAAGGTGAGATGAACAGGAACTCTTGCTGGGGTGAGCAAGACTTAAGCATAAAGCTTCCAGCAGGAGCACTGCCAACTTTAATTTTTGGCTTCCCTCTGTTCCTTGGAGCTGCAAAGTGAAGCCCTATATTGTGCTCGCAAAGCAGCTGATCAGCCGAGACTGCATGGAGCCATGCTCCCAGGCAGGCTACCATGTGAGCAACACTATCAAAGTGAGAGGCTTTCATCAGTGCCTCTTTGTTCTTCGTGGTACAAATTGCAAATTGCAGGAGGCCATTGGGCTTGTCTGATGCAAGTGCTGATCTGGCTCCGGACAGTTTGCTGAGACTGATCTAATCAGCCCGGGCCTGGGTCACTCCAGGACCTCCTTGAAAAAAAAGATCCCAAAATGTCTGAAGAAAAGTGGTGTTGAGTGGCCAAATGATCTGGAGTTTGTTCTCATGGGCCTCTAGTTTCCTGCCTCAATCTCAGCTGACTGTAGATGAAGGTTTTGCTGCTGGTCTCATTCAGAAAAGAGCACATATGGAAGTTGATGGCCTTTTCTCCTAATAAGCCTGCGTGAAGAAGACTTTTCAAGGGCTATTATATACCACGTTTTCCACTTCTCTCATAACTCCTACATAAACAGCACTCCTTTGCCTTTGGGGTTACACTTCACTGCATGTTGTGACTTCAGGTTTAGCTTCAGCAAGCTAAAGGTGTTGATCTTTAGGATAGCTCCTTGCTGGCACAGGACTCAGGTGAACTGTTTTAGAGCATGCATCATCCATGATATGTTGCCTGGGAGATCAAGGCCATGCATTCAGAGATCCAGTCAAGGCAAAGTTCAATAATTCCATCGCAGAAGAACACTTGACATGGCAGCCCCAACAGAAATTGTCAAATAACTTGGTAGTCTTGTTCCAAATGCAATCGAGCAAAGGCCCACTCCATATCACCCTGACCACAGAGCCACCTTGTCTGATGGAAAGTGCTGGGTAATGAGGAAAGGTGCTTTACTAATTATCTGCAATTAGTCTGTAGCCAAAAGGCCTAGATCAGCTTTGTGCAAAATACCAGAGCCCTCCTACAGGAGTATGTAGTATTTCACAGGATTCATGTAGCCTAGAAATTCCAACCAGGATGCCTGGAGTGTCCGCCATTCTTGGGGAAACAGTATGCCCAGTGTGACGGGGCTAATGCAGCATTGCTCAGGGCTGGGTACCAGGAACACAAGGAGGAATAGGTAAGGGCATAGGAAAGCTTGGACTTGAGAGGGTCTTATTGGTCTTTTCAAACCTTAATAATTCCGTGATTCTAAGAGACAACTTTTGCAGGAACAATGTGAAGATACGGTTGGTGAAAATATGCCTGATTTCCTAAAACAACAGGAACACTGATCCAGAGCAAGGCCTGATGGCCCCGGTAGTGGCGGGGCTGTGGTGAACTGAAGGTGTCCCCTGCCCAGGCTGCCACAGCAGCTGTGGTGGACCTGGGGCCTTATCCCTGTTTTACATGGTATCTATGCAGTACTGAGGCATACTGAGGCAATAAATGAAAGCCTCCACTTTGTTCCCTCTTGGAAGTCAACAGAAAAGCAAACACCACAGTGGTAGTAGTCATAATCCGACATGAACTGTGACGTGTGAATGAATTCTGTGAAGCTCCAACAGAAATCTGGATGCTGTGCATGTGGCCCATGCAATAGCTGAACCATCCCACCCAACCAGGCTGTGACCACCAGACGGGAGAACCTGCGACTGCAGTCTGCAAGGACTTCACGCTGTTTACATTATGTTTTTATGTGTCCAAGGAGATGTAACAACATCTCAGCATAAGACAGTTACAGACATTTGGGAATATAATCACAAGCTGCCAGGGCTGGAAATACCTCTTTTTTTTTTTAATGTGTGATAGACAATGAGCAAAACATCATTTCTGGATCGTACAGGACTTTATTTACGTGTGTGCTAAGACAGTGCAAGCAGCAGAGTTTTGACGTGGGACTCTCACAGCTCTGTTTTAGCCCAGCCCAAGCTCCCCTTTTTCCCTAGGACAAAAACTTTTGTTGCTTGAAGTGGGAAGGCATTTCTTGACTTTATAAGAGGAAATCAGCTTTCAGAACACAGAAACATCCCTTGCTTTTGGCCTCGGCCCTATGTGACCAGGTTTCTTGTGACCTTTGGGCAAACCTCGGAACACCCCTGTTAGCGCCCACTCTGATGGCCACAGCAGCATTTTCATGTTGGATATCAGGACATTCTGCTCTGAAAGAGAGGTAATGCATTGGTATAGGCTGCCCAAGGAGGTGGTGGAATTGCCATCCCTGGAGGAGTTCAAGAGCTGTGAAAGTGTGACACTGAGGGACGTGGTTAGTGGGCATGGTGGAGAATGGGTGGACTAGATGATCTTAGAGGTCTTTTCCAACTTTAATGCTTCTATGATTGCCATGTCTCTGCTATGGAAGTTGAAGGGGAAAATACTGACTGGATTCCATGGGCTGGGAAGATTAATCACCCGGCAGACCTTCAAATCAGCTTCTTCCACCATGGGCAAAGCATAGAATTAACATTTAAAATTCTTCTGACCTCGTTCTGTTTTAATTTGCAAGCGAAAAACTCCCTGGACTGTGTCAGGATTAAAAAAAAATCCCTTGGATCAAAGTGGGTGCTAATTCACATTTGTTCCCTGCTGTGTTCAGGGAAGCCTGTTGGTAAAACTGAGTCTCATATCTGATGGTTACAGAAGGACAAAATCTAGCAGCTGCAAAAGGTGAGTGCTATGTCCCAGGTGGCACAAGCCCATTTCAACGTGACTAAATGAAATTGAAATATCCCCGCACAGGCTGTCCTGAATGTTTCATTCCCCAAGCATAGGTGAGCTCAAGCCACACATCGCTGTCTGGGATGTCAGTGAGCATCCGAAATGCAACCCTTCCCACTTCCTGAAAAAACAAGAACATGGTGGCGAGGGCAAAAGGAAGCAAACGCTCACAGGAGAACAGGAACAACCCAACGGGCCTTCTGAGAATTGAATTTTACTGGCAGTTCTCAGAAGTGTCCCACAGCTGAGACCAGAAAGGATAAAAAGCTCCGCATATGAAGGACTGCAGGAAGCTCGTAGGAAAACAAGATTGTCCGTGTTATGGAAAGCATCTTGGTTACAGTCAAGGTGGAGAAATGATACCATGGGAACATAAGGCTTCTGAACCACACAACAGAAAACATACTATTTTCTAAGAATAGCCTTACCAGGAGAGATGCCTCCTGCAGGCCATGACTTTGAGACTGTCCTGCAGACCCAGGTATGAGGGAATGCAAGGTGGCTCAAACTTTTACCTTCAGCAGTGAAATCGATCCACCTGTACTGAAAAAGTTCTGATATTTTACTTCCTTTCCTCATGAGCTGTGATGGAATTATGTACAAAAATGTGCCATTTTTACCTACTCTTTGCTTTTATTAGTAGACCTCTGAAAAGACAAAACATCCACTGGTGGAAGCATCTATAGCACATAAATCTTGCAAACTTGCAGTAGTTTTCAGAATGAATATGATTCTATAATAGAATTTCTCTTCTTTAGTGGATCTCAGATGCCAGCATCACCTCCAGCAAGGACTATAAAAAGTGACAGAAGTTTGCAATGGAAGCAATCTCACATGGCACAAAAGTCTGCTGAAAGTTGGCAGGCAAAGAATAGTAATGAGTATCCATCCATCGAAGTAGGAATTACAATGAAAAGGACTTCTGCAAAGTATAGATAACACAACATAATCACATCTTTTCAATGTTTACTGATGGTCCTCATTCTCACCACCTCTTGAGTGACTCTTCTCCAGAATTCCTCTGCAAAATCAACTTCTTCTGCAAGATGTTGGAGGTGATCAGACAGATATTCATCACATGATAAAAATAAATCAATCAATAGCTGTGCCCCACCAAGAGGGAAGGAACATTGCTGGTTCAGTCACAACCAGCCAACTACACAGCAGCTAACAGCTGGAGGCATGCAGCCCTTCTCCACCTCGAGGACGGGTTATGTGGTTTCCTCTGTTTAGAAAAGAAAGGTTAAACGGTGTCAATCATTTTTTCCAATCTTTCCCAATTAAACATGAAAGTGCAGCGCTGAAGCTATCAGCTGAACTGGTTTTGCATTACCTCTTCACTTCCACTGTGTCAGGGCTTTGTTTTCTAAACATATAATATAAAGGCTTGGTCACATGCCCAGCATTCCTTAATCAGAGTACTCACCACTTCGCTCGTGATTTCAGTTACCTTAACAACAACATAAAGAAAAAGTCACTTTTTTTCAAGCAGCAACTCTTTATTATTGGGAAAAACATTAGGACTTTACTTTTTTTTTTTTTTTCTTACATATATTTGATTTGAATAAAAATAATTTATTTTGTTTCTTATATTACATGAAAATAAAACAAGGACTGAATTTTGGAAGCAAGAAAACTTAAGACAAAACTTTTAGCTGCTGAGATGTAGGACTTGGATTTTTATTTTTTTAAACTCAAATAGAGAAACAATCACAATTATCATTCCAGTGAAGAAAATTAATCCATTTATAAAATATTTTGAAGTTTGAGAACAGCATATAGTTATATATACCAGAAAGCATTCATAAGATAGAGTGTGAGTTCTAACGTGTTACCTAAAATATATAACTTCTCAGATTTTACACGGTCAAATACTTTAGACCATATTCCAGTGGAAAAACACTACAAACCTATTACAATCCTTTTAAACTTCTTGTTGAATTAGGTTTTATTTCCTTCTGAGGAATTTTAAAATAATATTTCCAGCAGTAAAATATTGCTTATTAACTGGCGTGCAGAATTGTATTCACACTAACTCAGACAACTGCTGCTTTAAAGAAACAGTGATAGAGAATCACTGATACAACAGCTGATGAAGAAGCTCAGACTGGTACAATTTGCCTGACATCTCTGTAAATTCAATAAAATGACTTTTTGTTCAGTAATATGAAATTAATGAGAATTATGCGTAATTCTGGGGTAGGATTACAGCGTTACAAGACAAAGGTTCTAATAATTAATCCAGTTCATATTATCTGACAAAGACTTTCAGCAGAAACATTGATTTCTTCTTCTTTTTTTCTTCTTAAAATACGTGCAACATAGTTTAGCTTTTACTCCCTGGCTTACCACATGTCTTTTCAGTTGAATGCAAACATAGTTCAACTTTCCATTAAGTTCTAGAGCAACAAACACCATTCACATGAATGGAGTCTAGGAAAGAAAAAGACAAAAAGGTAATTAGCATGTAAAGGTCTTGCTTTAGAACACAAATTAGTATATGTAGAAATACGTAGGATAAAAATGAGATGGAATTTGAATAGGTGTTTACTTGCATTGGGTTCAGTATCAGATTTAATGTAACTGTCATAGTTACGGCTGTGTGATGGGCAGTAGAAAGCCATTCTTCACCAAATATAAGGACAAAACACTATCAATATGATCATCAAAACAATGTAACCTCAGAGGTCAGTTCCCTTCGAAAGGCCACTGGAAATGCTGGCTGGCATGCTGCTTGACAAACAAGCCAATGCCATCTAAAGGGACAATGTTGAGGCCTTTAAAAATAAACATTTAATTTTAGTATATTTTGGAGGATTTTGTTTTGTTTTGTTCTCGGCTTTTTATTTTTGTAACTGCTGTTTCCAGTACCATCTCGGAGGCTGAAACATTTCATTCCTTCCCCTGCCTGTTTTGTCATTTTCCACTTGGCAAATGCAAACCACCACACCCTGCTGTTCCTTACGCACAAGTCGCTGGTATTGCCTTTTTATTTTCCTTGTCTGTTTTCTGTATCGTCACTGGGATTTACAGCCCTGGAATGTGATTTCTGCACTAAAGCACTTTTTTTTCTTTCACTAAGGAATGCCTCACTTTGCAACCACAGCTCTGTAAAAATATTGTCCTTTTAAATAATGAGTGGGCAGTGGCTCTTTTGAGATAAAACAGCGATCAATTGGGAAAGCCAAGGAGACGTTTTCGCCAGACTGCAATAGGTTTAAGATCAGGTGAAATTCTGGACTTAACCCATGCCATACATTTTCCCTTCTAATTTCAAAATTAGTTTCGGTTTTACCAAGTATTCTACTGGTATGAATAAAATTCTTGAAATCATGATGCATATTTGAGTTTTATGTATGTTTTACTTCTCTAAATATATTACTCATTTGTTTAATTCATTCAGGAATCTACCATGTTGTCAGCCAACTACAGTAACTCAGAAATCAGTTCTGTACGTGGAAGAGGCTTAATCACTAAGCCACACCTTCCTACAAAGCTCCAGTACTTTTGATTGGTAAAAAGCATTTCTCATTGAAATAACACTGAAGTGGAGCCAAAGCCCTCCTCCATATACATTACTGTTAAGTTATTCAACTTTTCAGGACAAAACGCTGGTCACATTCAATGACAAGGTATACTATAATTTTCATGACAGCTCCAGAGGTAGCTCTGGTGGTACAACAGTGTATCTTGGGTCAAGCTTAGGTGTGAAATCCTTGAAGTTCCTGGATGCTTCAGTACCGAATACATCCAAAACTTTCCTGTTCATCAAAGCAAACCTGAGAAAGCACAGACATGAGAGAGTGAGCAGATCATTCATTTATTTATACAAAAAAAAAGCCAACCCACCAACATTTGACAGACCTGATGACTAGTGCTTTGTGTAATTATGCTTCATAAAACATGACTTGTGTAAAAGCGGAAAGGAGAGAGCTCCTTTCTACTTTTAACTCCACAAAAAAAAGTCCAAACAAATACACTACAGTCTTTCCCACTGCAGCAGAGCAAGGTCTGGCCATGCCTAAGTCTGGATAACAATTTAATGGCTGTTATTTTCATCTCTTTACTCTTCAAATCCATTGAATGAATGACCTATGAAATGTCAAAATAAACTGCCTCTATAGAGAGTGTCAAAATTATTATTACAGACATCTGCTTTGGGTGAAGTAAATGAGCAGAATTACTATTCCCTCTTCTCTGTCAACTAAAACAATCTTAGGATTAGCACAAGAGAGAAAAATACAGCCAAAGCTGGACATCTGCACTGACATCATCTCCCACATCATGTTTGCACAGCCTCAGAGGTTGCCTGTGGATTGCTTCCAGGCATCCTCAGAGAGCTTCCCACAATGTCCAGCAGTGTGTTAAGTCACCTGACATCCAGCTAACAGCATGCTGTGTGCTGGGGTGTGTAGGTTCAACACGCCCCAGGGAATGATCTCTCTTCTATTTTTACAGTCTAGACAGAAGGAGAGCCTCCTCTCAGTGCTGCCCCTCAGTTAAGTAGGTCGTATCCAAAGGACTGACAGAAACTCCCAGTATTATCAAGACGTTACCTTTTATAGTCCCATTCATAAACTGCTCTTAGCACAGTTTTGATGCTTTGCTTCTGCCATATAGTGTGCCCACGTAATAATGCACACTTCACCAAACTGTACTTTTATAATTACAGCAAAATCTATTTTAAAAGATAAGCATTTTAAGATAATGCAATGTAAATTCATGGTTAAAATCAGTGTAAATTATTCATTAGTTTTCAATGAAAAATATCATTTTCCAACTGAAATAGATGTTCCATAAAACAACTATCAAATATTCAAAGCATCCTTAAGAAATACTCAGAAATTTTCTATCAATACTTTCAAACACATAGTAATATCAAGCTGTAAGTTACTGTAGTAAGTAATTTCATCAGCTTCTCTATTTGTTTACAGGATTCTTCATTTCCACAGAAACCTGAAAGCATTCCACCTTTCCAAGTGAAACTAAAGATAAAAAGCCCTCTGGTTACATTCTCATCTGCTGAAGAATCTTAACCAGATTTCAGTCTTTGCTCCTGTCATTAGACTAAACCAACAGTCAAAAGCATCAAGTGGACTGGAAGCTGCCTGAAAAGCAAAGTAAGTGCTCAGGAACTAAGCCCAAATGTACTGCTACAGCTATGCTGTTGACAGAGAATGACACAAAAGTTGAATGTGATCAATGGTATGTTTAAGAAAGCTGTAAAATACTCTGATTGCATACCTGCCCTTTGTTAGTCGTAAAAGGAATTTCCAGTATGAAGGTCTCAGGTTCTGAACTTCCATGACAGCCTACAAGGAGAATAATCTGTAAGAGCCAGTTGTGGCTGGACAGGGGAAGCCTGCGCTCATCCATTATATTGCCAAATCCAGGAATCAATAAGGAAATGGAAAAGTGTAGAGTAATTTGGGTAACGCTGAAAAGGAGCTTTTATAGTTGATGCATCCAGAAAAGGGGCTGAAGATGAGGGTACATAATTGACTTGGAAGGGGGAAAAGAGGGTAACTACAGCTTGTTTCAAATGTAAAACTTCAACACTGCTAATTTTTGCAGATTCTTGCAAATGGGCAACTTCATTTCAAGTTAGCTGACAGGGAAAACCTCCAGTTAATTAAAAAGAAACATAAAATATTATGACATATTGTTCCCCTGCTTGAGTAATGGTCCTTCCACACACTTATGAAAGACCCTATGTTAAAGTGTTTTGAGATATTTTCCAAAGAATTTAGTGCTCTGTGTAACATAGTTATACACATATCAGAAATGCGAGTTGTAGAAATGATCTTCCCACAGTGACACTCAAAAATAGGTTGTAGGATCCACAACATGTTGCCAAATCACATCTTTGCACTGTATGCTGATGGTTCTCATTCCATTTGACATTTCTGTTAAACTAGAAGAACTTCATATTCTATCAGAAGACAACATACTTACTGCCTGAAAGCATATTGATGTAGAAATGGCATAGATGACGCTGTCTGCATGAGGAAAATAGGGAACCTTCCCTGCTTCAATGCCTTTGAAGTATATTGTCTGTAAAAATAAACAGAATACTTGGAATGAAAAAAAAAAGAAAAGTCACCTTTTACATTTGCTTTGTTTTACATTTTCAGAATATGCCAGCATTTCTAACTCATGCTGTTATATTTTCATACATGGTCACAAATGTGACACCAATTGAACTAGCTTACAGAAGTTATCGATGACCAACAGAATGTGTGGCCACAAACACATAGAACAGGACTTAGCAACAGCTGGGAGTGCTAAAAGAGCTGTACAGATCTTAGAAAGAGAAAAATAAAAGCAAAGCTTGCTAGGATAAATTCTGCAATTGAGAAAAGCAAAAGAATAATGCAATAAGTATTCCAACAAAGTGAATATTCACTGTTCTTAAACAGCTTGAAATCACATACTTTTATTTCTGAGAAAACATGTAGAGTTTATTTTCCTGAGCACAGCTTGACCTTCCAAAGCAGCACACGCCTCTTTGGTCAGTTACCCTTGGCTTGCATAAGACGATAAAAGTAGTTCAAAAACAAAAAAAGAGCACACAGCACTGCAGCCACAGTGTCTCAAAGTCCAGAGAAAACTATCAGCAATACAAGATACTATTGTTATGGTGTTGTTGTTTTTTTCCTTTTCCAATTGATGTTCCAAAAGAATCAATACGGACAACTCAGAGTTGCTTTTATATAACCACTGTGTGAACTCCTTTCAGAAGCCTGATCTAGGATTAGGGGGAAAAAGCATAAGCAGAGCAGAACTTCTCTTTTTGTGTTTAATCTTGTGTCTAAAAGAATAAAAAATTTCTTCTTTTTATATTCTTTAAACAAATTCAGCACAATTAATGGTGGTGGATAAATACTGGTAAGGAACGAGGCCCTTGATATTTGCAGAAGAAAGCTTTGTGATTTGGAGATGAAGCATAACAAGAGAATGCTGTCAAATTATTCCAGTGGTGCTGCTGGAGAAACAACTGCGGCAACGTCCTGCTATTATGGAAAAGTCACAGTAAGAAATGAAAATGATTATACTTTGTTAGCAAAGTATAATCAACATACAGAATTCTACAAACCTCCTTAATTCTTTCTTTCCTCCACTCCCAATTTTAACAACTTCATAGAAATAATTCAAATTAGTCAAATGGTAAATAGAACAAAGATCTCTGCAATGCCAGGAATTCAATCAGTTGAAGTATACTGACAAACAACTTCAGCTATAGACTAAAACCTAAGCTATTTTGAGTTATCTCACATATCTGAATGCCAAAATTATGGAACAAAGGCAGGAAGTTGAGCCGTAGCTCTTGGCAATAAATCTGCAATTAAAGGCTAGTTCTGATTTATGTTTCTAGCAGAAGAGACGAAATCCACATTCTTGGAACTTTCAGATTTAAAAATGTGCAAAAGCTACAAAGCAAAGAACTACAAAGAAAGCAGATGAACAAAAATTGTGGCAAATGTCCACGAAGAGCAGTGGATAAAGAACATTTAAAATGAAACACGAGAAGGAAATGAGACCACAGAATGGCACTGCCTCTTGGTACACACCTAAGAAAACACAGCCTCCATACTCAATTCTGGATTACGCTGGAATATGCTGACAAAGCCTATGAAGCTCAATGAAGCTGAAATAAAGAGCTCTGTTATGACGACAGCATCTTACCTCTACTAGTTTGGATGCCAGATACATAGAGATAGTAGTACTTTTGTAGAACATCATAGAAATTCCAGCTAGACACCCTGCAACAGTTAGAAAAGAAGCATTAGTGTGATTTACTGTTGCAATCATAGTACATCAGCTCAACAGATTATGCTTTCTACTGCTAAAAAATAATAATAATAAAAAAATCAGTGACGTTCTGGTGCTGCCCATCAAAATATGGTTTGTGCCAGTAAAGCAACAACAAAAACCCTGAAATTCAGTTGTCATTCAATCATCAGGCGCACAGGCTCAAATCTCCTCCTCCATCCCACAAACAAGAGAGACCTCTGAGGATCTACAAGGTAGATACACCTATTGGTGCATAAATAAGAGGTAAGGTCCTCCAACACTACACAGATTTCACTGGAAAGGGGTCCTTCTTTGGATCCAGCGGAGCCCATCCTTTCAAATGTGTATTCCATCACATATGGAAGAGGCAGTATTGAAACCTCACATCAAAACACTTGGAAAATAAAGGCTAAATTTACATCTGTGCATACAATAATTTATTGACCAAGAAGCTGAACATAATAAACAGAAAGTGTTTGACTGAATCTACCTTACAATTTTAATGCAAGCCTATATTTGAAAACACTTCAAACACGACTGCGTGTTTTCGTATTTCAAACACTACTGACACAACATTAATGTATACAGTCCTACTTTTATCATCTAACTCTGGAAGGGGAACGGGAGATAGACATTCAACTGTGAGCAAGACAAATACTTGCAAAAGCCCAGCAGAGCCCATGCAGCTTTCTTACAGTGGACTCACCAGCTACAAGCGCGTGAAGCTCATCATCTAGGTTCCGTACCCAGCGCAGGAAGCAGCTTGTACCCTGCAGGTGAACAGACAGCAGGATGAGCCACAGGCATTCTGCTTTGGGATGCACAGACTGGAGATATCCTGCTATAAACTAGTAATACAACGTATAGCATGGATTAAGAGTATGGTGTCCTAACACCCATAATCCACACCACTTGAAGTGTTTTAGTTGTTCAGTGTTACTGTTTCCTTCAGAATCGCAGAGCAGAGCAATAGTTTGAATACCAATCTAATTCATGTGCGAAAAGTAAAGCTAATTTTGAACTGAGCACCTTCCTTCGCTGTAGCTGTCTTGACTCTTTCCCATGAGAAGTCCGTAATATCCTCTGTATTTTTTTTTTAACATTTTGGGAAATCCATACTTTGCTGCCAAATTTTATCCCTGGCAAATCTATTTGCTTCCAAATGGCTCGAGACTTGACTGTAAGGCCAGCTCCAGTGCTGATGGCTCTGGGACAACAGTACACAGTTCTGTATGATAGTCTGCTGATGTCTAATTTGAGATGAATGTCAGCCTCTTCACCCATCTAACATGTGCTTTTCATGGAACCAAGGAATAATTCATTTTGAAAGAGACCTTTGGAGATCATCTAGTCTACTGTCCAGATCTAATTAAAGCAAATTGCTCAAGAACTCATCATCCAATTAAGTTCTGAGTGTCTCCAAACATGGAGGCCATACAGCCTCACCAGGCAACCTTTTAAAATTTCCTTATATCTCATCAGAATCTCATGCATTTCATCTTGTGTCCATCTCCTTTTATCCTGTTACTGCACAACTCCAAACGCAGTGTGTCTCTGTCTTCTCTGCACCCTCCATGAGGTGTAAATAGCAGTAAGATGTCCCATGAGCCATTTTTTTATCCAGATTAAGACCCAGTTTTCCCAGTCTTTCCTTTCACATCAAATGACCCCATCCTCAAATCATCTTGGTGGCCCTCAGGTGAATTCACTGTGTTATTTCAAAGTCTTGAAAAAACATTGAAATGAAAAAAATTCAGAAGAAAATGTCTACACTGTTCCAAAATTGAATTATGACAGTCAACTTTACTAATCAAACTTGTAATCTTATTTAAAAAGGGAAATGAGGCTGACACAGCTGATTTATTTTCTATAAAATCATGTTTGCTGGCAATAATTTATAGAAAGGGGGACACAAAATATTAACAGCTACTGCAGCTCTACAAAGGCATTTCAATCTGCCCAAAGGTTCAAAATGCATCAGGATCCAATTTTTTGCAGTGATTAGGATCTCTACAGCCCTATGAGTTTATCTGAAACTGTAAGAAAAACGTAATGCAATCCAAATCAATATAAATTATGGAATGTGAACAGTAACAGAAAGCACCTACTTAATAAATAACAAATAAAGGTCAGATTGTGTCAGTCTCATGAAATGAATACTCATAGAACCAAACTAACTTTGTAGTTGGAGGTTTTAAAATAAGTGAAAATCACTTCAACTTTCGTAATTTAAATGCTTTTATTCCCCAAAGGCACTTTTAGTAAAATTGGAGTAAAAATCTGATTTTCAGATAGTCTGAATAGCCCATTTGCACTTTGCCATTACAATTTTAAATCTTAAAAATTCTGGTGTCTCAATCCAATGGCAATTCAAGTAAGATTCTGTTTTGCTTACAAGTAAGGCTTGGTTTTCATTTAATTTCCAGTTAATAATGTTCACCATGAATAACACGGAATTGTCTTAACTTCAGAGCACGAGTAAAGTGGCAGTTGAAAAATTGCACATGTGATTAACAACATAAAGGTGCAAAAACAACTTCAGAAGCATGCTTTGCCACAACCTCTCCCTTGGCTTGTTCACATCCTGCTTGACATGAATGCACATAAATCAATTAACTTCACCAATGCTGAATGAATATATATCAGTTCACAATCTGTCATCTTCTAACGGTGCAGAGGGGTTCATCTCCAAGTGCCTCTTTAGCTGTGCATGATATATGTTGTGCAAGCTCCTTCTACTCAGCATCAAGTAAGGGTTCCATGTATTTGAGCCAAAAAATCTGCAAATGGCTTCTCTTTGGCAGCAATGCTGCTACTGCAGTCACTGCACTACATTGTGTTTCCATAACACAAATTCCCTTTGGAATCTGAATTCACTTTTTCTGAAGTACCTCCAATCTCATGATATCAATACCAAGCTGCAAAATCTATCCGGTTTATTCAGAAGCGACACACACATAAAAAACAAAAAACAGAATGAATGGAAGACTAATTTGCTGTTTACAATTTGATGACCAGAATACTAGAATTGCCAGTGCCGTTCTGTAGAAACCAGTGCCAGTTATAGAAAAGTATCTCCCTGATATTCTGAGAAGCAAAATAGAACACATGGCAATTGTCACTCCACATGTTTTAAGCTTACTTTGTATATACTGACAAAAGATCCCAGAAAAGCTCCAAGCTGGAAATTTTCCTTGTTGTAGAAGAGTGAAAGTAGCCGGGATGGCTTTGTAAACAGATGCCGGAAGGTAGATGGGATCCGAAGGCAGCACTGGATCAGGTAACCAATGCTAAACATCCTAATGAAACCCTAGAGGAAATGGGAAGAAATCACAACTTCAGAAGAAGGAAAACCAAGAATGTCTACAGAAGTACTTTTTTTTTTTTGACATTGAGCAGTTTAAAACTCATTCTGCGTATTCTACATAAAATGCATTCCCATCTTCAGTTTTGTTTTCATGATTCCCTAGCAACAAAAGCAATAAAGTAATAAACAAGTGACTCTCTTTTAATTTCTATGAATACCTCAAAGGCCTCAAAAGGCAAACTCTATTTGTCTTCTGCTCTAAAATTCTGTCCCTTCAAATAATCCTGGTGGTTTCCTTTCCATGTTACTGACTGGCTTTTAACCACAAATGGATACACAGAGGAAAGTAATGGGAAAACAGCACTTCTACACTCAAATGTCTTGAGAATGCACTAAAGCAGTAAAAAGTCCACACAAAATAAATTTCAGAAAGTGGGAGAATTAGAATCTGACCCCAATGGCTTGGCACAAGCTCATGTACTTTTCCTCAACCAAACCGGAGCCTCAGTGAGCTCTGCAGTAAGATCAAGGCCAAACCTGGACAGGAAATTTTGTACAGAGCTATTGCAAAAGAATAATGTCAGCTCAAATTATTTTTTCTTGCTGTTTCACCTTAGACATAGATCTGCTATTTTATATCACAAAACTATGCTATTTCTCTACAAATCCTTTTCCCCCATCTCTTGTAACTTCCTCCCATGCTTTCTATCATCATTTTTACCCGATGGCTGAACTTCTACGAGAGTTTTGAATAAAATTTATCCGTTGTTTGGTTGGTGGATACCTCATCTGAAAATTATAAGAATGCTGTGCACTCATCATTCGCAAATCAGGCAGCACTCAATGCTCATAATTTCTGCAGCCCATTTTTTGGATGTCTGAGATAACCCCAGAGACAGTTATAACCAGAAGAAACTTGGATTGAGCAACCTTTCCAGCTCAGAAACTCAAAACATCTTTGCCTCCTGCAGAACTTTCTAATGCATCATCAAGCTCATAAAACTTTATTCTGGTTAAACATTCAGCAGTAAACTTCTTGAAACAATTACTCTCACTGAGCTGCTACTCAGAAAGTGGTTTACAGGAATCAAGTGAAAGAAACTATTTTGTGTCATCCAGTGGATCCAATAACCACACATGAAAATTTTCCATTTCTTCCTCTGCTACTTTTAAAGGTGTGTAAATTGTACTGTGCTACCAACCCAGTGTTTTGCAGTCCTATAATGAAAATGCCTACTGAAAGGTATGTACAGCAGGCAGAGTTTTAAGTGCATTGTGAATTTTGTATCCTTAAAATGTCAAAATTAAGATGAACATAAATTCATACCATCAACAAAGAAGTACTCTTCTGTAAAGTACACAGCGCTTGTCCTCTAGCACAAAAAAATGTTTACAATACCAGGTACCATTATATAAAAAGAAAGTCCTAAAAATACCAGTTATGATCAAAGCCCTAACAAGAGAACACACAACAATCAGGTAAGAATTTTTTCCCAGCTGTAGGAAAGACCATTCAGGCAGGGAAAAGAACAGTGTGTTAAGAGATACCTCAGTGCCAGCTGGCAGTCAATTATATTTGCCATTTTATGAGCAGTGCTGAGCTTCAGCATTAAGGCTTAGTTTTGATGCACAAGAAAGCATCATACATAGTGCACAAACTCTTTCTGTTTAGCTGATTAAATCACAGCACATATTTACAGGTGTTTTCCAGAGTCACAGAAGTATTACATTTTAGACTAATGCATAGTATTGCTACTTTTCCCTAAAAAGACCTCATACAATAGAGGTAGAAAACAGTAAAGTATTTGCAGGAAACCATGATAAACTTAAATGAGAGAAGTAAACTCTGCTACAAGCCATTTCTCCACAGCAATTTAAAGTTGTGACTGAGGTCAGTTAGATGTAGCAGTACAGTGAAACTTCGGGAGTCCTCAATTCAGGAAACAGGTTGAGACAAGGACCAAAAAGACCATCAGAGGGCTGGAGCATCTCTCCTGTGAAGAGAGACTGGGGGAGCTGGGCATGCTCAGCCTGGAGAAGTGAAGGCTCTGGAGAAATAACTGTGCCTTCCATTAACTGAAGGGAGCTTACAAGTAGGAGGGAGGGTGACTTCCCTTTTCACAACGGCTGTGGAACGATTTAAGAGGGAAGATTTAGGTTAGTTGTTAAGAGGAAATTCTTTACTCAGAGAGTGGTGAGACCCTGGCACAGCTGCCCAGAGAGCTGTGGTGCCCCATCCCTGGAGGTGTTCAAGGCCATGTTGGGCAGCCTGAGCTGATGGGGCCAACCAGCCCACAGCAGGGGTTGGAACTGGGTTCCTTCCAACTCAAGTTGGAAGTTTAGGTTCCTTCCAACTCAAGCCATTCTGTGATTCTATGATCAAAGATCTTGTGTGAGCCACCTGTTTTCATCAGCAGCACTGATAGAGAAGAGACAACAAGACCACTGCTTTAGGCTAAGCCTTCCTCGCTGTGATCAACAGGAGTCACACAGAAAAATGTTGTTCAGCTGTCTCCAGTAGCCTGCCACACTCTTCAAGCATTTACAAAAGCTCATCCTTGTCTGTTGTTACCAGCCTGCCAGTGTTGCTTACTACAGAGGGGTCACCCTCCTGGACATTCTTTTTCCAGTTGATGTACCCATAGAAGAATTTCTCATCCTTCTTTGTGCCCCTTCCCAAGTCCAGTTGCAGTTGGGCCTTCCTGACTCCATCCCTACACAGCCTAGCAGCAGCCTTATATACTCATCCCAGGTTACCCATCCTTGCTTCCATGCCTGTGTATTTTCTTCTTGCTCTTCAGTTTGATGACCTGCAGGTCTCGGTTCAGCCATGCCGCTCTCTTGCCTTAAAATTACCTCTCTTTGTACTTATGAAATCACAAACACATTTTCCACTAGATTCAGTTTTTTCACAGAGAAAAGGGTGTCAATTCTATAAGTAGTACTTTAATAGAAATCTCTTCTTTTGCTCTAGCTGTGCTTCTAAAATAAAATAAGGTTATGAGGATACTTACGGATGTATACTCAGATACTGCTAACATGCAGCACAGAATGCGTAAGGATTTTGTCTGAGATTACTAAACTGCTTAAGAATTTGGAAACATTAATTAAAAAAAAAACTCAGAAAGTCTGGTTTAGCAGCAGTTAAAAGCTAATTACTATAAATATGCATATGTAATGAAAACCAGTGCTTTATGTAAAAGTGAAGCATGCTGAAGTTAGCAAGGCATCCTTTAAAACAGATGCACAGTAGGAGATGTTACATCAGCAGACATCTGGAAATGCAACCAGACCAACCCATAACATCACTTCTGTTGTTTTGAATATAAACGTCACTGTAGTGTTGGACATTCATGCTGTGGGCCAGACACTGATGTCTCTGGGGAAAACAGAGTACCCAAAGGATGCTGACCAATTCAAGCTCTTAGGAGATGGGGGACAAAGGTATCCAGGAGACCTTGAATAGCAAATTCACTGGGCAAGGCACTGAACACAAAAAGCAAGAGCAAAGTCTGTCCCCAAGATGTTACACCCTAAAGAAAAGGCACAGCCCATGAATGAGATCACATGTGGACTGAGACAGTGGTAAGAGGTTGAGAACAAAAATCTAATTTGAAGCAGCAAAGTGTCACAAACCTATCCAACTACCAAACCTGCAGCACTTCACAGATACCGCTGTCAGGAACCAAAAGACCTTAGGAAAGTGGGCATTATTTAGATGTTTGTGCATGTGATACTGACTTACCATGCTGGCTGTGTGTGGGTGCCACCAACAGGAAATGTGTTACAAATTTCTAGCTTGTATAGTCAATTATTAAGCAAAAAACGTATGGAGGTAATCCACTGCCTTCTGGTTCCTGTCCCTGAGCAAGACCATTTTATACTGAAGCTTTGATAAATTTACTACTACCTTGTGGGCCAGAAGAAAAGATAAAATGCCACATCATTCAACATGGGCAAATTCTAACAAATTTGGTAAAAGTAAGCAGAACGCATCGGAAGCAACTGAAAACACTCAAATCATTTTCTGCATCTGCATAAATAAAAATGAGTAGATTTATTAAGTGATCAAAATCTTTTGGAGTCTTACCAGCTCCTAAAAAAAGGCACAGCAGGTGGTACCACCTGCGCCAAGCCAACGCCAGCCAGAACAGCTTCCCCTGCACGGCACTCCTCTAAAGGAGGACGAATTCTGCCACTGGGCATGGCCAGCTCTTCCTGTGCGCAGCAACTGGGAGCAATCTCTCATTACTCTGAGCCATTAAAATAAATGAACGGGGGACTGAGCCCAGAGCCAGCCTCGTGTGCCAAACACCACAGCTGTATGCATGGTGCTGCCGAAGCAGCACATTCCAGGTGCTTTATTTAGGGTGGAGTCACAAATGGGCTCAGCCGCAGAGTGCATCACATAGTTCAGTTCCTCTCGCCACTCCATTTTTCCCACACATTCTGTGTTATTCATTCACTTCAGCTAATCTGTGAGATGAGAAAACTTTAACCTCTGCCCCATCCAAAATTGAGAAAACGTGTTTTCAGGCTAGTCACATTTTCAATAGAGAAAGAACGAGTAACAGGCTCCGTTTTCATTTCCGAAGTATACGCTTTTTCCAACCAAAGAATTTTACCCCATCTTTGCCAGTTTGTCAATCTAACTTCTGCACTTACTTTAATACAATATGAGATGCAATTATCTTCATAGTGTTTACAGCATCTATGCCTTGGGCCATGTTTGCACCTGCAAAAAGCACAATGAAACACGTATTAACCTGTAGCTGTTTTCAGTATGATCAATGGGAGACTTCATAAATTTTTCTTGCTTAAGAATACATAAAGTGTTATTTTCCCACCATCGAAGGGCACTGTGAGCTTTTATGATGCCATAAAAAGGCTATAAAAAGAAACAATACTTTAGTTGTACAGCAAAAGTGTCTGCAGATTTATTTTGATCCAACCTCTTTTCTTGCCATGCTACACCTATAATACAAAATTAAGCAACACATTTTCTGCTGTGGGCAACAGGGAGCAGCTATGAGACAGAACTCTAGGGTTCTTTCCAGTCTGCCTGTATATTTCACCAATTATCTGTGGCCTTACACAGAATCATAGAATCGTTTGAGCTGGAAGCGATCTTTAAAGGACATCCAGTCCAACTCCCTGCAAAGAGCAGAGAAACCTACAGCTCCATCAGGTGCTCAGAGCCCCATCCAGCCTGACCTCGAGTGTCTCCAGGGACAGGGCTTCCATCATCTCTGGACAACCTGTGCCAGTGCCTCCCATTTCACCTTGTCGTATCTTTCATAGCACTGTAAGGTTCATTGGAAAGAAATGCAAGCAATGCACAGAGTTATCCCATGAGACATTTTCCAATTACAAGCATTTCACTTCTGGGCTAATTCACCTACTCTGTAGGTTGTTTTGTGGCTCTGACTTCGAACTGCAAATTTGACCTTCAGTGTATAAGAAAGATTGGCTTGGGATGGTGGGATTCCCAGACTGTGCAGTTGTTAGTCCTGCACAATGTAGAATTATAAAGAAGTAATATCATACCGTGTTTGAGTGTTACATTTTGCTATAGCCTAGTATTTAAGTTTTAATATAAAATAAATTACACAATTTATATACTGTGCCAAATATCTTGGAAGTTTTGAATCACGTACTATAAAGTCTAATGGCCATAAATCATCTGTGAGGTCAGTTTATGTAGCAAAAATTGTAATGAGAATGTGATCAGGTTACGGGCATTTAGACTCAATTACATTGAAAAGAACCATATGGAAGAGAAAGCTGTGAGAGCATTAGGGCTGAAAACTGGAAGTTTTCTGAATGCCTGAGTAGGGAGATTCAAAACCTTAAAGAAAAAATACTCTTCTCCACACACAGTCCCTTGATCCTTGTACTTAGCAAACAGCAGAAGAGCTATGAACTAAATGAATAAGGAGTATTTAAGACAAAACAGATATAAACAAATCAGCTAGAGGAATCTGCACACAGCTCACTGCTTCTTCTCTTTGTAGGTCTTTTTTTTTTTTTAACTAATACAATCTTGTCTGAAAAGGCATTGCTGATTTTCCCCATATTTTTCAATTCAAAGGCATAAAGAAATCATGGGAATTCTCCCTGTAATACAGGCCAGTTCACATGTGCTCATTAGCTGAGCAAATAAGCTAAGCCACTACACACTGCCCTTCACAGACTTATTTCTTTCCTGTGTAACAGTAGGTAAGGTCTAGTCTCCTGAAGAAGTCAGTGGAAGTGAAATCACAGGTGTGATATGGTCAGATGTCCTCTCGATTTGTTATTCCATTCTCTTTACAAAAGCTTAAAAAGCCATCCCATATCACCTCTTTATGGTTACTCTAAAGGTCAGCAAATTGCATTCTGCAGACAGGGACAGAACTTGTCTTAGCTAATCCACCTGTTCGTGTCAGGTTCATGTAAAGAACAGTTTTAGATTCACTTTTGCTTGGGACTTTCCTGACATGGAAGTGCTACACATTCTGTTCTTAGAATACAGGGATGTGGGTCCCCCCCAAAAAATGATGTGATGGTAACTTAAGGAGACCTAAATAAGGAGAGCTGCTGTGCACTTTTCCTTCTTTAATATCACTACCAGCACTGCTGAAACCACGCCATGGGCCAGTGCTGCAGAAAAAGCAAACTGCACTCCACCATGCAGAACTGGTTGAACTTACGCTGCCTTGTTAGACAGCTGCACACTGCAAGCTATTTTGAATCCCTGCTATGACAAACAGGTCTTAAATTTTGTTTTTCTTAGGGTTCGTAACTTGTTCCTATTGATTATCCGGTAAAAAAGAATTGCAAAACATTTAAATGCAAAGCAAAAGAATCATTAAACATTGTCAGATGCACTCTATCTAAACATTAAAACAAGCTGAGTAGGAGTGATTCATTTTGTTTTGTTACTCTTTTACTTTCTTTTGACTCACACTTTGTCCATCAGCTTTTTTGTTAGAGCCAACAAGTTCATTCGCTGTGATATTTTTTCACAGGGCTTCATTTTTCTCTCTGTTTTTGAAAATGCTGCTTCAGGTGAAAATGAATGAGTGGGGATTTCTTCTTTCCCTACAATGAATCTGGAAAACAAACAAACAAACAAACAGAACAACAGTTGCATAAATAACTCAAATATATACAAAGTCTCTGAAGTCTCTAAAACAAAGTCTCTAAAAGTCCGTAAGACAAACTTGAAGTTATCCACAGGTCTGCAAAAACAGACAGGTGCCACACTTGTATCTCCTTGGAAAAGACTAATCCACCAACACAAACTTCAGACGACAGACAAAAGCGATGTCAGGATTTTGTTTAAAACCAGGCACAAAAACATTACGGGGGAAATCCACCTCTCATAGGAAAGAAAAATATCAAATAAGAAAAGGAAACTATGTGTGAAATGTCTCGGTTATCTCCAGCAAACTGAGTTACAAAAAGGTTGATAACTACTGAGATGTTTTTATAAATTTTGTATAACATTTTGTAAAATCTTCAAATTGTTGTGCTCTCACCAAGAGCATCAATTTTGTTGTGCTCAGCTTCATCTTCAGTTCTCCTATGCCCAGAAGTTCACTCTATCAACAAAATCAGTTCATCCCAGGTGTAGAGTTACTGGGTATCAAGGGCAAAGGAGGTCACAATGGCAAAATGCACTGTTTCCTAACAGTTAGCACTGTAATCCAAGTCAGTAATCCTCTGGCAGTTTTCTTGAGGGTGGCGAAGGTATCAATCTTTGTTTTATGACAGAACCTCCTAGAAAACTGATAATTTCAGAAAGCACTGATGGTCATCACAGGATTGTTTCGTGTCCAGATTTCTAGAGTACAGAATTCATTATCGTAGAATTATTAAGGTTGGAAAAGACCATTAAGATCATCTAGTTGAACAATCAACCCATCCCCACCGTGCCCACTAACCATGGCCATCAGTGCCACATCTACATGTTTCAAGAGCACCTCCAACAACGGTGACTTATTTAACTGCCTAACTATGGTTGCAAATTCTATAAAATATTTTCCACTACCAGTGGCAGCTCCGCTTTCTTTGACTTTGGCTTCAGTTCTTCTCTTCACCAGTGAGCTGGTACTGACCATGGGCTGTTGTAGTGGTAACTACGTAGCAGAGTATTTAAGGTAGTGATAAGAAAAATGCCTCTTCTGCCAGAAGGCACAATGGCTGGAGAACTCTGTATAAAATGTGGGGGTGCGACCAAAGAGTTCCATGGTAAAGTAAACTCTAGGAAAGTCAATATTACCAAGGCAGATACAAGGTTTAGTAGCATAGGATATGCCAGAAGTCCATGCTTTATTTGGTCACTGGTCACAGAACTACACAGAAAATAAATTCCAGGTCAAAACACTGCAGCCCTTTCCTTCCAGGAGAATAAGGTGAATCACGAATCCCAGGTTTATAAAGAAAAATATTAACATGCCTTCAAAAACATACACAAGCATGAGTCTTCATTTCCTTCCTATGATTCAAAATATGAAAAGTTTCCTCTCTTACCAGCATACTGTGCATTCAAATATGCTGGTTCCCCCACCCCTCCCCATCATAAAATTATATAACAGCATGCTTTTTCTTAGGAGAACTCATTCCATGCAATCAAGCTTCTTCTGTGCACAATTTCTCAAAATCTTCTCTTCAAGCTATGTACTCAAAGAAATATTCTCCTTACTTACTTCAGTGCAGAGTATGTAAATCCCTTCAAGCCATCTTTGCACCTGAAACATAAAAACAACAATCTTTGTTATAAAGGACCGCTTGCAGCAAAGACTTGTAGGTTGTGTACAATTTAGAAGGGCTGTGGATGAACACCAGTTTCTCATTAACAGAAAACAGAAAGTCTGTAACAAGTCTGTGGCTTATCCCAATCTCACAGCTGTCACCACAGCCTTGGAATGCCTTAGAAACAAAGGGTAAAGCATATAAACGTCACTGCTTCTCTGTTTTATCAACACCAAGAGTGGCGAAATCTTTAAAGGACAGTGACAGAACCACTGGGGTAGCAATGGGCAATTTCATGTGACAAAGAAGAAAAGTCGAGATGAGTTTCACAAAACATAAGTAGCTTATCAACATCATCACTTCAAGAACACGCTACTGTAAGAGAAGACCGTTTGGATAATGCCAGATCTTCATAAACAAGAGTGAATGAACACAACCCTCCTCTTTCTGCACACAGATACCACGCAGTCCCTGGAAGTCCATGCTTGCCTACAGGAGCACACGATACAGGCTCCCAGGAGGCAGCACACACAGCCAATGCCTGCTGCTGGGAGCTGGATGGGAGAGCAGCAGGAAGGACAGAATGAGGTGCTGGCTAGTTTCCAGCTCAGCATTATGGATGGTACTGGCCATTCAATAGGATCCATCTCCCTGGTTGTACTATGCAGGTGGGTATCATTCCAATTATTAAATGGTGTGCCTCTCCCTTGCCTTCCCTCTTCTGAAACTCTCAACAGAAGGCAGATGTCATAGAAAGCTTTGAAACACTTCTGCACAATGCCAGAAAGCTCATCATGAACAGCTTCTCTTTTAAAATTCCTGCATCTAAAACACTGATGATGTCTATAGGATCTACAGGGGTTCAAGGTAATCTTAAACAACATTGCCCACTCTATCTTTACTTAATACAACACAGGCACAAAGAAGACATTTTATGATTCTTCACTTATGGAACTGGGAAGCAAGAAATTCTCGTAACACTCTAACATAAAAATGGATCAACATGCCTGGGGACTGACAGACTGAAACAAAGGAATCACAGAATCACAGGATCTTTGAGTTGGAAGGGAGCCCAAAAGCACAGGGTTTGGGTATACTCACTCTGCCCACAGAACCACTGTGCAATATCATGAGTTTGCTTTTAAACCTACTGACAGCTGTAAGTTAAGGTCCTGTTGAGTTATTACGGGTGTTGGACATACTACGCTTGCCAGCTAAAGAACAAGGCCTTAATTTCTATTTTCAAGTAAATTAGAACCATACACAAAATGAAATGTAAACATGCATAAGTGTTTCTAGAGTCATACTGAAACAGAAAAGTAATCATACTGAAAACACGGGGATGCTTTTGCCTTAATCACTACAGTGCAATTACATTCCAGCTGCTGAGGCTGAGCTTCCATTCCTGGATCGGCCACCAGATGTCCCTCCCAGCTGCTGCTAGCCCCAGCCCTGCCGCCTGCATGGAAAGTGCCCAGCAAACCCCTCCTTGCCTTTAGTGAAAATCACAAGACATCTGAATTACTGAAAGGGAAAGCCACATTCTAACTCGCTCTTCATACCCCAAAAACCATGAAAAAGGATTTCTTACAGCCTTTCTCACTACATGTTGAGTAAATCCTATGCAGTAAATATCTGCTTCATTGAGGTGTGGCTAGTTATTCTTTCTGTTGTTCTTTTATTAGTAGTTCTATATAGTTATTTCTCCACTGTTAGCAAAGATAACCACCAGATTAGGCTACCCAGGGCCCATCCAAGCTGGCCTTGACCACCTCCAGGGATGGGGCACCACAGCTCTCTGGGCAGCTGTGACGCGGCCTCATCGACGTCTGAGTAAAGAATTTCTTCCGAACTTCTAACCTGAATTTCCCCTCTTTAATTTAAAGCCGTTCCCCCTTATCCTATTGCTATCTGCCTGTCTAATAAGTCACTCTTCCTCTCTCCTGTTTATAAGCTCTTTTCAGGTACCAGAAGGCCACTGCTCTAGAGTCTGCCATTCCCTTACTTATTCCCAAAGTAATTTACACACAAAACTGGCAGCAACACAAGAAAGCTCCATGCAGTCTCTTAACACACTCCTTGGGTGGAGGTAAAAAAGCACCCAGAGACAGCATGGAGATGTCCCAAATCCACTGAACTGGACTCAATTGCAGCTGCAAGCACTATTAATGTACAATGGCAGTGGCACATGGTACTTCTCATGAACACCTGGCTGCTAATAACTGAACTAAGACTAATGATTTGCTTCATACAGGCCACTGCTAATTGGTAATAATAACTTTTACTCAATGCTTCATTGCTCAAGGGGTGAAAAAGTCCCTACTCTGCTGCTGACCTCTGTGAGCCATTCAAGCTGCAAATGAGCACAGTTAAAAACATGTCATGTACCCAGCATTTCAGATTCCCCTGAGATGGGAAGAAATCTCAGTAACATTTTGTTTTTTTTTAATGGTATTTTTCAATCTGGGAGATTTGCAAGAGCCATAGAATCATACACTGGTTTGGGCTGGAGGCAATCTTCAAGCCCATCCAGTTCCAACCCCTGCCATGGGCTGGGTGCCACCAGCTCAGGCTGCCCAGGACCCATCTAACCTGGTCTTGAGCACCTCCAGGGATGGGGCACCACAGCTTCTGGGCAGCAGTGCCAGGGTCTCACCGCCCTCTGCATAAAGAATTTCCTCCTAACATCTAACCTAAACCTCCCCTCTTTTTATTTTAATTTAGCCATCTCAAGCTGCAGGAAGGAAGCACCGTTTTTTGCCCTGTAAGCACTCTTCTAAAGGCACGCAATCTGCTTGCAGCCAACCAGCAGAGAATTTTCCCATCAGAAGGGAATTTGCCCCTGGTCCGAAGCCAGCAGAGCCCATGGCTGCCAGCTGTCGCTGTCCGGCTCCATGCACCCCATAACGGAGTAGGATCGTTCTCTGCTCACAGCCCAGCTTTGGCTAGAGCCAGAGCAGCAGAGGAACTGAGGAGATGCAGCAGTAAATCTGGGTTCTCCACATTCCCCCGCTGGGACAATTTTAAGACAAAAGCAAATGGGGTCGATTTCAATCATGTTTAATTATAACATAAATTTAACTTATGGCCACACACAGGTTTCTTTTTTCATAAAGAAAACAGCAAAAGTGGAAGAGAGCCAGGGTGTGATAGTCTCTGTGTTTTCAATGAGACATGAACTAACCGTAATTATTTATGTTTGGGTATGTAAAGAGGTGCTGTACATGGGATCACACCACTCTCCCTCTGTCATGTGGGAAGAAGTTCCCACACTGAGCTGAAGGCTGAGTGCCAGCAATTATGTTTTGGGGTTTTTTTTTATCAGAGCGCCTTGTCCTAAGCCTTCTAATGATTTTCTGTGTGACCAATTGATGTACTCAGCACAAGAAACCTTCTGAGGAAACAAGTCCCTGTTCACCCACAGAACTCATAAGGAGAAAGTAGCTCACAGCAACACCACATGCCATGTTTAACGACATTCCCATATTGCTTATGTTATCCTTCAGGGTAAGAGTAAATTAGAAACTCCTATACAGAGAGCTCATTATGGCCATGTGGGAAGGAAGCCCTGCGAGCGCAGGACATGTGTTTGTACATTACTGCAGCACATCCTGCCTGCTGGGACCAGCCGGGGGACCACATTTCCACATTAAGGTGTCTCATTGCACAGAGAAGGAGGGTCATCATGAAGAAATGGGACTGTGTCTGATCACACCGTCTGCATCCCCTGCTATTAAACCCCTTGCTGTTAGGAATTAAGTGCTACCCACCCTCCTTTGTGAGCTGCAATGAGCTCTGCAGGATAATCCATTCTCTGTTTTAACATACTTAGAGAGATTACTACATCTTCCTACTTTTGTTTCTCGATCTTTACTTCTCATCTTCTCCCCAGTGTTAACAGTCAGCAGCAGTAACTCATTTTTCTGAGTTATCACAGAATCACAAGGTTGGAAAAGACATTCAAGACCATCCAGTCCAACCATCCACCCATCACCAATAGCACTCACTACACCACGTCCCTCAACACAAAGCCCAAATATTCCTTGAACACCCCAGGGCTGGTGACTTCACCACCTCCCTGGGCAGTCCATTCCAGTGCCTGACCACTCTTTCAGACAAGTAGTATTTCCTAACGTCCAGCCTAAATCTCCCCTGGCACAGCTTGAAGCCATTCCCTCTGGTTCTATCACCAGCTACACGAGAGAAGAGGCCGACCCCCAGCTCACTGCAACCTCCCTTCAGGTAGTTATAGAGAACAGTGAGATCTCTCCTGAGCCTCCTCTTCTCCAGTCTGAACATTCCCAGCTCCTTCAGCCGCTCCTCATAAGCCCTGTGCTCCAGACCCCTCACCAGCTTTGTTGCCCTTCCTCGAACCCGCTCCAGGGCCTCAATGTCTTTCTTGCAGTGAGGGGCCCAACACTGGACACAGAACTCAAAGTGCGGCCTCACCAGAGCTGAGTGTCTTCTGCATCCAATTCTTTTTCATCTTCCATCTCCTCCTTTGCTCCACTGTTTTAGAATCATATGATATCCTGAGTTGGAAGGGACCCCAGTGATCATCAAGTCCTCTAACTCATGGCTCTACACAGGACTACCAAAAAATCAAATCATATGTCTTTTCCTCCAAGTCAAATCCTTCTTTTTTTGTACTTTGTCCTCTTCCCATTTGTCCTCTATTATTCTCAAAAAGCTCCCTTTTCTTAAAAAAAGAAATAAAAAAAAAAGGCAGTACTTCTTTCGTATCTTCTCAGGGTCTTATGCTTTCCACTTTGCTAATCAAATGTGTTGTGACTACTGGACCGAAGGTACAGACTGTCACTGAAAAATAGGATTTTAAAGCAAGTTGAGACTCAAGGACACACATAATTATTCTGAATTGCAGAAACAGAAGAATTAGTTCAAGCTCAGTTGAACTAAATTGTTTTAAGACTAATCAGTAAATGTAAATTTTCCAAAAAGCTTTGGCATCCAATAATAACTCCTAACCAATACGATC